GGGTGTGCTTGCTGGTTTTTTTTTTTTTTTTTTTTGACAGGCAGAGTGGACAGTGAGAGAGAGAGACAGAGAGAGAAAGGTCTTCCTTTGCCGTTGGTTCACCCTCCAATGGCCGCCGCTGCAGCCGGCGCACCGCGCTGATCCGATGGCAGGAGCCAGGATCCAGGTGCTTTTCCTGGTCTCCCATGGGGTGCAGGGCCCAAGCACCTGGGCCATCCTCCACTGCACTCCCTGGCCACAGCAGAGAGCTGGCCTGGAAGAGGGGCAACCGGGACAGAATCCGGCGCCCCGACCGGGTCTAGAACCCGGTGTGCCGGCGCCGCAAGGTGGAGGATTAGCCTATTGAGCCATGGCGCCGGCCCTGCTTGCTGGTATTTAACTGAAAGACTCATAAGCTGGCGTCCACACGGGAGCCTGCCCGTGGATGTTGAAGGCAGCCTTGTTCACAAGTCACTGCCAGAGCCTGGGACCAACCCAGCTGTCCGACAGCGGGTGGCGGGAGCGTGGGGACAGCGGAGTGATGAGCTGCCAGCCGCGGCCAGGCACCGAGGAACTTGACGTGCAGGTACCGGGGCGAAAGGCGGGTGAGAGGCCTGCACCCTCTCTGGTTCCGAGCCGATGGCCTTCTGGAACAGGCAAGGCTACCGGGACAGCAGAAAGACCAGTGGCTGCCGGGCTGCGGGGAGAGCTGCCAGCAGCAGCAGGGGTCCCGGACGGTGACAATCCTTGGAACCACACTGCAGTGGTGGCCGTGTGTCATGGCGTTGGCCCAAGCCCACAGGATGCGCAGCACAAGAGTGACCGGCACGTGAGCGTGAGGTGCGCAGCCGGGCGACGGCCGTGGGTGCCGGCTCTCCCGCTGCGGCCCGCGCTCCGCTCTCGTGGGGACCAGGGTCAACGGGAGGCTCCACCCTCCTCCCCATTTTGTGTGAATCTAAACATGCTCTTAAAATTAGGTTAAAAGCCTGAAAGAAAAGGAATTCTGCTGGAGGCTTCGATGGCAGGTCACACCGGAATGGATTCCATCTTCAAAAGATACAAAGACACTTTGCGTGGGGGTCTCCTGGGTCTTGGGCCATAGTCACCACGTCCAGCAGGGTTGCCTGTGACACTGAAGGTGGGGCTGCGCCCTCCAGCCCCTGAGCTAGCAAAGGCGGGCCTGCCCCTCGGCCCCTTCAGCCCCCCGCCCCTTGTATCAGTCCTCTGGGACTTGCTCTCCTCATAGTAAAGATAACAAAAGCTCTCCCTGGAAACAGGAAAACAAAGAACTTGAACATCAATCCCACCGCAGGGTAGCCGTCTACTAGTCTTTCATCCTAAACACTTCTAATTCATGCACTTTCTTTTTTTTTTTTTATCAACACGCAGTTTGTGCTACGTATCCTATTTGTGACTAGTTTATTATTTTAATCTAGCCAGACCTCTACTGCTTAACTGCAGAGTGCTCCCAACTTCCCGCTGGGAGGACAGGAGCGAACATAATTCTCTGTGTGCGTTTCTAATTATTTCCTTAGACTAAGTCCCCAGCAGTAGCATTACTAGGTCAAAATGCAAATGCAAGCAGAGGCATTGCCAAGCCCCCTAAAGTTACATCAGTGCACACCCCCACAACTGTGGACGAGAAAATGCGTGCCCTTGGGTTTCACCAGCCCAGGATGCTATCTGTTGTCTTGTTTAAAATAGCTGCAATTTGATCAATTTATTTAAAAAAGGTATTTCTTCTTGTACTCTAATTCTTTGGTTTACGGTAAAAATAAACATCATTTTCTAAGTCTGTTGATTACCCACATTTCTTTCTTTTCTTCCTTCTTCCTAATAAAGTGGTTTACGTTCTGTGTAGGGGTAGGTGGTCAACCCTGCCCACTCTAGAGTGGGTCTTCTTGTTTTAGACTTATTATTTATTTGAAGGGGAGAGAGAGAGAGAGAGAGAGAGAGAGAGAGAGAGAGAGAGAGAGAACGAACGATCTCTTCCATTCACCAGTTCACTCCCTGTGTGGCCACGACAGCCAGGTCCAGGCCGAGCCACAGCCAGGAACCAGGAACCCCATGCTGACCTCCCACATGGGTGACAGGGTCCCAAGTACCTGGGCCATCTTCCGCTGCTTTCCAAACACGGTGGCAAGGAGCTGGGGCAAGAGCAGAGTAGCCAGGTCTCAGACCTGCTCTCCTCCATGCGATGCTTAGCCCACTGCCCTACACCACCAGCCCAGCACCCGAATTCTCATTTGTGAAGCGCTACAGTGCTGTTCTTTGATGTAATTGATGCACATTTATTGCAGGCTTACCAGCTGCCGGGTTCTGCTGGGCCCTAGGAATATAGAAAAATGCAGAAACATCTCAGGTGGCACCGGTGACAAACCCCCGGGCTGCGGGCTGCCACCAGAAATGTAGCTCCGGCTCTGGTGTCACCCAAGGCGATGGCCGCTTCCTTCTAAAATCACTTCCTCTCTGCGCCCAACAGCAAGATCCCGTCGCCGTCTTCTGCGCACAATGGCGGACTGATGCGCACCTGGCTTAGCCAAAACACGTACCAAATTCTTTAGGAGCAAGTTTAAGAGGAAACAGATACAAGGATGCAGGAAGGAACCAAAATCGAAGAGGAACCAAACAGTGGCGGCTGCAGCCACGGGGCAGGGCGGCACAGGCCCGGGGGACAGGTGCTGCGACCACGGGGCTGAGGGACGCTGCTCTGAGCGCGCAGGAGGAAGGGACAGGCCCTGTGTGGGAACCACGCGCCTCTTCCAGACGGCCCTGACAGAGCCGAGCCCGTGCCTACGCTCCGCACGCCTGCCTCTGCCCGGTCTGGGCTCTGCCTCTCCCAGGAACGCGGGGCACAGCTGAATCGGACGTGGGGGTCAGGCCGTCTGAGGACAAAGCTCCAAGGAACCAGACAGAAGCCAGGTGCACACTGAGACGCCTGCAGAGGCTGGGGCAGGAAGCCAAAGCCGACGAGAAGCGCGAGAGCACCACCTCAGGACTGTCGGGCATGACCGCCGCACAGCCGCAGAGGAGCAAAGAGACCCACTTCAGCGGCAGCCTGGGAAGCCTGCGGGTCCCACCCGTGACGCGCTGCTGCAGCACAGCCCAGCGCACGCGCTCCTCCCCCCACGGCGGCAGGCCCCTCGGCCAGAGGGCCCCAACGGCTGCAGGAAGGGCGGCGGGAGCCAGAGGGGAAGAAGCTGCAACCCCTGCTCACCGTGAAGGCAGGGACACCAAGGGCCACCTGCAAACACCGGGAGACCAAGAAGGTGGCGCACTTGGGTAGCCCCCCCCCCGGCCCGCGAACACCAAGTCACATTAGCCTCACAGGGCCCCACTCAGCGAGCCCCGGGGGCAGTGCCTGCTCCCCCAGCGGCACAGCGTGCCTGGGAAGAGGCTCAGAGGCTCAGAGCCAGTGAGAAGGATGCACAGCCCAGCCCCTCCGTCCCCTCCCAGTATGGGCACTGGCAGCCCACACACAGGGGCCATCGCTGTGGCACAGAGGGTTAAGTAGCCACCTGTGACACTGGCATCCCAAACTCGAGTGTCTGGCTTCCTGCGGATGTGCCTAGTGAGGCAGCAGATGGTGGCCCACGCGCTTGGGGCCCTGCCACCCACACGGGAGACCGAGATGGAGTTCCTGGCTCCTGGCTGGGGCCTGGTCCAGCCTTGGCCACTGCAGACATTTGGGGAATGAACCAGTGGATGGAAGATCTCTCTCTCTCCCCTCCCCTTCTCTCTGTCTCTCCCTGTCACTCTGCCTTTCGAATAAAACAATCACTGTATCTTTACCAAAAAAAAAAAAAAAAATCCATCACAAAAACCCCAAATACAAAGCAGGTTCACAATAGCTAAAAAAGCAGAAATGACCCAAATCTGTCCGGTGATGAATGGATGAGTACAGGCAGCCTTTCCCATAATGCAGCGTTACTCAGAAAATACCAGGATGAAGCACGGATACCCACAGCAGCCCTCGGAACGTCGACGTCATTGAGCTGAGACCACACTCAGCGGGACAGGTGTCTGGTATAGTGGGTAAGACACCCCTGGGGACACCCACACCCCATCCAAATTGCCTGCTCCAGTCCTAGCCTCGATGCTTCCAATCCAGTGGCTAGCGAATGTCACCCTGGGAGGCAGCAGGCCCCTGGGCCCCTGCCACCCCCATGGGAGACCTGGACTGAGTTCTGGGACCCTGGCTTCAAACTGGCCCAGCACTGGCTGCCTCAGGGATAGGGGGAGTGAACCAGCAGAGGAAACATCTCTGTCTCTGTCTTTCAAATAAATAAATGAACATAAGTATTTTTTTAACACTGGAAAATGGTGGAGACCACATGTGCACGATTCCACTCATCTGAAATGCCCAGAGGGAGGGCCCGCCAGGGCTGTGGGGAGAGGCAGACAGGGAGTAAGCGGGGGACAACAGGCTGGGCTGAGCCGGCACATCCCCACGAAGGCACTCAAAGGCTCCGAGCCCCGCCTTGGGAAGGGCGCGTTACCCGGTGAGGACGGCGTTTCTAAAGGTGCCACTAGCACTTCACTTAACATTCCCCACTGAGAACAGCTACTCCACACGTAAGGGAACAGGTGCAGCCGAGTCAGCCTGGGGGCCGCAGCCAGGACTCGAACCCAGTCCCCGTCAGATCCCGGTCGCCGGGCTGGCTATCCTGACCCTGAACGAGCGGAAGGGACAAAGGCAGGAGGAAAGGCAGCCCCACGATCAAAGCAGCGCCCCCTACCCCCGCCCCCCAGCAGCCCTGGCGGTATCTGAGGACCCTCCCCAGGCTGGGCGGCAGCCCTGTGCCCCCGACGGTGGGGGTGCCTCAGAACCCTTCGTGACCCTGCAGCTGGAACACGGCTCAGAACACCAAGGCTTCTCCACTTCTGTGCTGTTCCCTTAGGCTCCTGGGGGTTCCACGTTTAAGTGAGACATTGTGGCTCTCTTACGTGTCTCCGCTCTCCAACGTTACGTTCTTTCACTGCTGTGATGCATATGCAGCCGCGGGGCCATGCGCACTCACCGTGAAGTGCATCTCCTTTACGGGCAGCTTGAGGTGCTCAAAGCCCACGGTCACGGTGTACTGCGTGTAGTTCAGGTAGCCGAGGTGAGCCACGATCATCTCCGCGCATTTCTGCAAAGGCACAAGGAGGGCCTGTGTCGAGGCAGGCAAGGCGGACCCCCCACCCCTGCTGCACGACGGGCGCACTCGCGGCACCAGGCCGGCAGAACCGCGCATTACCAGGAACTCCACGCAAGCCCAGACTCGGAGCCCGGCCACAACCGTCCCGGGGAAAAAAAAAAAAAAAAAAAAGAAAGAACCACGGGGACATTTTAGGAAACATACTATGGCTTAAAGTAATTAGAATGTTTCCGATTTGGATGACTGAAAATGTCACCTGCATTAAAAGGGTAACAATGCAAAAGACCCAAACCTGGAATTTCTGTAAAACTACAGTGCCCAGCGGGCCACGTACGCTAAGCCTCCAGCCTGCCCGCCCCATCCTCCTGCAGGATCAGGATCCTGCCACGATCAGGACACACGTTCCCTCTCTCCCCTGGGAGCCTGTGCCACCCCCACCTCATCAAGCAACAGCCACGTGCACGCTTCACTGCCCGCCGTGCACACCTCTCCTCCTGGGGACTCAGAACCAGGTCTGCTCTGCTTGGTCAGCCCCTGCAGGGGTGGCGGTGAGGACGCAGCCCTCACTTTGGGGTACAAATGTGCATGCAACTCACTGGCCAGGCATCCAGAGCCAGCGACGTCCCCTTCAGAGCTCTGCCCGGCCATGCCACGTGGGCCAGCACACCTGGGACGTGGCTCTGTCACCTGGGTGGATGCGCCCCCCCCCCCATGCCACCAGGCAGCGCAGCCAGTGCCCAGAACTAACGGGCAGCTCTGCGGCTTTCCAGGTGCACCTGTTGTCACGGTGGCTCTCAACAGGGCAGCCGCCCTACAGCAAACAAAGGCTTTCCACACTTCCAAGATCTGAGGTCGGGTCAGAAAACAGATCCGGTTGTAAATAAGAGGGCTTTACAAGCTGAGGGCACCTGGTGGAGAGAAGGCCTGGGTAGCACAGGCTGCTACCTGTGGAGGGCGCAGAGCAGAGCCAAGTGTGCAGCAGTCTGATGGAAGCAGGCCACAGGGCAATGCTGCACCTGCCCCGATGCCCGCCACACTCGAGGACACGCGCTCTCCAGGCGGCCACCTGCCCCCCTCCTGACTCTCCCGTGTTAGAAGTGTACATCACCTTCCACATTTTATCCCATCTGAGCCCCGGCTTCCTGCCCACCTGGCTGGCTCTGGGCACGTGAGTGCCGACTCCCCTTCCTCTGGGATGGGGCAGCAGGGGCATGGCATGCCCAGGAAGGGGCAGGTCAAACACCAGGAACAGGGCAGAGACGCACTTCTGACAGGTGCAGGTGGGACACTTGGTCTGCTCTCATCAGCAAAAGACTACATCCTTCCACTGCAAGAGCTGCCGGGAAGCCACCCGAGGTCCACGGCCCCCAGCCCAAGCCGCAGACCTGCTGCCCTCCAGTGCCGCCGCCTTCTCGGCTGCCAGCGTGGACAACCTTGCCACCAAGGCAAAAGACACTCGTCTCTCTCCACATCACAGCACGGCCATCTAGACGGTGCTAAGTCCCCTGTAACCTCTTTACCAGAGAGAGAGCAGAGTTAACGAGGTTCATCTGTACAGCTCTAGGGATATAACACTTCCCCTTCCTCCCTCCCTCTCCTTTCTCTCCTCCTTTTCCTCTTTTTAACATTTTCGAGGTAACATATTTTTAATGTACATGATAGAGCCCACCCTGTTTAGGCCAGGGCAGTGCTTCTGCAGGGCTAGGGAGAGCCTGGAGCAGACAGAACAGAGATGTTCCCGGGGGTCTCAGTGTGAACTGAGGTGGGCTCCCCATGGACACGCACCAAAGGGCCGTTCTCTAGGGGCACAGCACGGCAGCCAGGTCCCGGGAGCAATGGTGCAGCCAAGCCGGCCCCTTCGGCGGCCTGGGTCTTCCTGAAACCAAGGCTCTGGGTGTGGTCACCAGCTGTCCCTGTTTCACACCCAAAGGCCCTGTGCGCCAGGAAGCCCGGCTCTCCCAGCAGCAGGGGGCCGCCCACTGCCTGGCTGCCCGGCTGCCGTCAGGCCCCGGCTCTGCTGAAGTGTGGCCCGTGGATGGCGCACCTCCTGCACACAGCCCCGGGGGCCCAAGGCTCCGCCAGCGCTGTGCACGGCCACACATATCATTCACCTTGACCCTGCCGCTTTGCCGAGACTGGGGGAGGACTGCACCTCCACTTTGCAGATGGGGAAACACACCCCAGAAGCTTGCTCAGGCCCCTCGTGAACAAGACGGGGAGGCAGCGGGAGGGCCAGCCGCTCGCGCTGCCTTCCTCAGACACCAGCTCACCGCGATGGGTGCGCCAGAGGCTGCTGAGGTCAGGGGCCGCCCGCCGGAGCTGACGTGCTAACTGTCAGCACAGGGACCGGCGGCGGTGGCTGCCGCCATCCAGGGGTCCTCCCCGCGTGGCGACTTCCTTCTTTCCAGGACAGACAGGCCGGCACGCAGGAGCCCCGGGACAGCGGGACTCTGGCCCTCCACTGTCTCCTGTGCGGGGATGGCAGGCACAGCTCCAACCGCCCCCAGCCTCCGCTCCTTCTATGAGAGGGGCTCTCGGGACACCTGGCTCCCACAGCCCTCTTCCAGTGCCCTCGGCAAGCGCACTGCCGTTTCCGATGCTCCCCCAGTGCCCCCGCTGCCAGTCACCTGGGGAGTCCCCCGACAAGGCCTCTGGGCCGGCAGGGACCCGCCGTGGGCCTTCGCGCTCTGAAGAGCCTGGTGCTGCCGGCGTCGGCAGTGGCCGTCAGTCTCCTGTCCCCAAGCCACGCTGCCGCTGAGCCCCCGAGGCCTGGGCATCCTGACCCCGGCAAGGACGGGCACTCAGCGCACGGCTGGAACCCCGAGTGACCACAGCGTGCGGCAGGCCCTCCTCCGGGAGACACGGCCCACTGGTGCAGTGAGCCACCAGGATGATGACCACAGCCATGGTGCGTGTGCAGGGGATGCGGCGGGATTGAGTGCACACGCGTGTGCACACGTGTATGTGCACGTGCGAGTGGCTAAGAACTTCGAAGGGAAGGGACGGCTGAGCTGAATGTTCCAGGCGTGCGGTGGTGCGCAGCCGCCGCCACACTCACCCCTGCGCACGTGAGCGTCCTGGTCCGGTTGTGGACCTTGTTGTGAATGTACAGCATGGTTCCGTCCTGAGCGACACCGTCCACCTTCACCGTCAAGGGGAAGCTCGTCTGAATGGAGGTCTCTACAAAACAGGGGCTCGGCGTCACGCTTCCCAAGGGGCTGCCCGGCTGTCACTCAGAGAGCCCGGCAGTCCTGGGACCACCCCCACCTCAGGGGCCCAGAACATTGCTCCAGCCTGTCACTCAGGGGCCCGCTGGGTCTACTGCATAAAAGGCTTAAGTGTCTCATCGCTAATACAATCATAGTTTTCCTTCCCCACCTAAAATTGTCATTAACCAAAACAGAAATACATTCCTCATTTTTCCTGATTATATAATTTGCTATTTTTCAGCTTATATTCTTCTTATAAAAAAACCAGAGAGCAAAAAAAAATGGGGCTGGCATTAAATGCTAGACGTGACCGTAATTAGCTTTTTTGTGTGTCTGTTCATCAAAGACCACTGCCAGCCGTACAAATACATGGTGACACAGATTTTACTTTTGCTTTCCATGTTACGAACAGGGAGCAGTGACTCTGCAGCCTGAGTGCTGGCACTTCAGTGACTATGCCCACAGGGCGCGATTTCCAAATTCTTCCTCAACTTCACCGGAATCGCAAACCTGAGAAAAGAACTGGGGTGAGCACCTGCCCAGTTCTCGCCAGGACGACGTACGACTAGCACACTGCAGGCGCCCAGAAGCGAGTCCGCGACACTGCAGGGACTGCCTGGCTGGGGCTCCTTGGCCTCGCACAGCGGACACCCTGGACAAGCCCTGCTGGGGCCTGGCCTGGGCAGGGTGGGCTGTTCAGGGGCGTGCCTGGGGTCCAGGCCTGAGATGCCAGCAGCAGCCCCTTCCCCCTTCAAGCTGTCGCCAGACACTCGGCCCCCGGGTCTCTGGGGTGCGGAATCCCTGCTCTGTCCCCCGGGACCCCACTGAGAAAAGCTGGAGCTTCAGCACCTGCCCCCCCACCCCCCGCCCCGTGCCACCGGCGTGGGGGCCAGCACGTGCGCAGCAGAGACTGCACGGTGACTTGGCGGTTCCCGCCGGGCGCCATCCCAGGAGCTTCCGAGTCACTGCTGTTGTAACAACAAACATCTCTCTCTGAGCACTGGTCCAGATGTTGTAAAGTCCTTTCAACCTCCAAATACAATGTTTTGTATGAAGAAAACCACACTGAAACCTGAAACCTCAGGATCCTTTTTTTTGAGACAGAGAAAGGTTCCACCCACCGGTTCACCCCTCAAATACCCCTTAGGGCCGGGGCCAGGCCAGGCCCTCGATCTAGGCCTCCCACATGGTGGCAGGGACCCGACCACTTGAGCCATCCCCTCCTGTGCCATCCCCTCGGTGCTCACAGCTGGAAGCTGGATGGGACCAGAAGCAGCACCCAAACCAGACACTGATGTGGGCTCTGGGCGTCACAGTCGCTGGGTGAAATACCCTCCCCAGGCCCCGTACCTTTTGACTGATTCAATTCAACCACACACGTCAGCCACAGCTGCTGATTATACGTTGACAGTGGATTTGAACGTAACTGAATGGGCTTTAGCTGCGCAGAGGAGAACACAAGTCAGGCAATGCCAGGGAGCTTTTTGCTGAGAACAGACAACACACAGATTCCTTAACACACACAGTCACGCTGAGCCCGAGCTCCGGCGCACTTTCCTTCTGGAAATGCGAGGGAACCCCCAGAATCGCTGCAAAGAAGGTACCATTAGAAAAGGGACAGAGCTCACGTGTTCACCTGGGCAAACTCAGTGAGACGAGGCCAGGCACAGGGGACGCCTGCTAACGGGCTCGGGGCCCGAGGGGCCGCCTCTGCTCCCCACCGAGGGCTCGGGGACCGAGGGGCCGCCTAAGGACTCAGGTGTTGATCACAGAGGAAAAGGCAGCTTCAGCAAACAAGGGCCCAGGAAGCCGGCGGGGAACGGAGGCGGCAGAACTGTGTGTGTCTGAGAAGCAAGACGCAAGGGGACACGCAGCCGCCCTCACACCCCGGCACCAGGACCCGCTCCGTGACCGGCATCCGTGACGCCCCGCCAGCCACCGCGCACACCCAGTCCTACTTACCTTTTTGCTATTATTTAGTGAAAAATTAGCTGCAGAAGTCTGGATCACTTTGGGTCCTAATGTGTAACAGAGAAGAGAAGGGGAAAACACGTTATAGCTACGGTGGTCATTTACTGATTTTTTTTTTTTTTTTCAAATGCCAAGAAGGACTCATGCATTCTACAGATATGGTCTTTAGAGACAGAAAGGTCTTCCTTTTTCCGTTGGTTCACCCCCCCAATGGCCGCTGTGGCCAACGTGCTGCGGCCGGCACACCACGCTGATCTGAAGCCAGGAGCCAGGTGCCTCTCCTGGTCTCCCTTGCAGGTGCAGGGCCCAAGCACTTGGGCCATCCTCCACTGCACTCCTGGGCCACAGCAGAGAGCTGGCCTGGAAGAGGGGCAGCTGGAACAGAATTCGGTGCCCCGACCGGGACTAGAACCCGGTGTGCCGGTGCCGCAGGCGGAAGATTAGCCTAGTGAGCCATGGCACTGGCCCAGATATGGTCTTATTTACCAAGTCTTTCTCTAGAGATTGTAAATATGTAGAAAAACAGAAAACACACACAGAGTATCCACTCTGCTGTGTGTGTGACTTCCCAGTACACACCAACACAACTGACCACGTGCAATGCATACGATTTCCATGGGAACATGGGCACACTCCACGGTCCTATCTATGGGAGCTCTCTCTCCAGCACATGGGTCCAAGAAAACATTAGCTATGCAGACACACTCTATGCAGGTTGCAAAGTATAAGGATCTCAACAACTAAGACTTATCTGTTCACCCAATTAAACCAGTCTTCTAGAAACAAGTAGGGGACATAAAGTGGCACAATATATACTAAAAACAATAACAGCGGGGCTGGCATCATGGTGTAATAGGTTAATCTTCCACCTGCAGCACCAGCATCCCATATGGGCGCCGGTTCGACTACCAGCTGCTCCTCCTCCAATCCAGCTCTCTGCTGTGGCCTGGGAAAGCAGTAGAAGATGGCCCAAGTGGTTGGGCCCCTGCAGCCGCGTGGGAGACAAGAAAGAAGAACCTGTCTCCTGGCTTCAGATCGGTGCAGCTCCCGCTATTGCAAGACCTATCTGTCTCTCTCTCTCTCACTGTCTGTAACTCTCTCTCTCAAATAAATAAATAAAATCTTAAAAAAAAAAAAAAACAGCACATGGCTTTTCCTGAAATAACAGGTATACAAGCTGCATAGACTGCTTCTCAAAAAAATTTTTGATGTATTTATTTACTTAAAAGGCAGAGTGATAGAGAGAGAGAGAGAGAGAGAGAGAGAGAGAGAGAAATCTTCCATCTATTGGTTCACTCAGCAAATGCTCCCAACAGCCAGAGCTGGGCCAGGCCAAAGCCAGGAGCTTCCCACATGGGTAGCAGGAACCCAAGTACTTGGGCCATGATGCACTATCTCCCAGGTGCATTAGCAGGAAGCTGGATCAAAAGCAGAGTGGTCAGGACTCAAACCAAGTACTCCAAAATGGGATGCAGACGACCCAAGCAGATGCTCTGCCCGTCATGCCACCACGCGTGCCCCCTAAATGTTTCTGGTGCGTAAAATACCTAAGAACAATGCTCCTGTGGATGCACAGACACTGTCAGAGGGCAATGGCTGCATCCTGTGGTATATATTTGCATGGAAAACTTCTTCTTTTTTAAAAATTATTTTATTTATTTGAAAGAGTTACAGAGAGAGGGAGAGACAGAGAGAGAGGTCTTCCATCCAATGGTTCACTCCCCAGATGGCCATAATGGCCGGAGCTGTGCCAATCTGAAGCCAGGAGCCAGGAGCTTCTTCCAGGTCTCCCACACGGGTGCAGGGGCCCAAGGACTTGGGCCATCTTCTACTGCTTTCCCAGGCCACAGCAGAGAGCTGGATCGGAAGAGGAGGAGCCGGGACTAGAATTGACATCCATATAGGATGCCGGCACTGCAGGCCAGGGCTTTAACCCACTGCACCATACTCAAGCCCCAGAAAACTTTTTTTTTTATTAGACAGGCAGAGTTAGAGAGAGAGACAGAGAGAAAGGTCTTCGTTCTGTTGGTTCACCCCCAAAATGGCTGCCACAGCTGGTGCGCTGCGCCAATCCGAAGCCAGGAGCCAGGAGCTTCTTCCTGGTCTCCCATGCCGGTGCAGGGCCCAAGCACTTGGCCCATCCTCCACTGCACTCCCGGGCCACAGCAGAGAGTTGGACTGGAAGAGGAGCAACCGGGACTAGAACCCAGCACCCATATGGGATGCCGGCACCTCAGGCGGAGGATTAACCAAGTAAGCCATAGCGCCACCCCCCCTACCACCACCAAAAACTTCTTACCAGCAACATTTAGTTGGATTGTTGGGTTTTTAAAATCTATTTTGCCAGTCTCTGCTTTGTGACAGGACAGCTCAATCCATTTACATTTACCGTAATTACTGATGAAGAGGCACGCACTTCTGCCATTGCGCTTTCTATGATGGACGTGCTTTCCAAACGCCTCTCAGTTCCTGTCACTTACACCCTAAAGTTGCAGCACTCAAATTCTAACTCACAGCAGCTCAGCATCAACAACGTGGAAACCCCTTCTGCACAGCCCTTCTCCACCGTTCAACTGTTGCTCTCAAAATTTTGACGGAATTTTATCTTTATGTATGTCCAAAACCATTAAACTTTAGTGGACTAGTTTTTTAATTATGCAGAAGATAAATGTGGAGTTACAAATCAAAATTACAATAATACTAGCTTTTAGACTAATCATTATTTAATGTACTAATCTCTTAAATCGTGTAGAGAATAAAAACTAACAGACCACTGTTACAATACTATCAGCATTCATAAAAAATGATTTGTTTATTTGAAAGGCAGAGAGAGAGGGAGAGAGAATGAATGAATGAGTGAATGAATGTCTGCTGGTTCACTCCCCAAATAGCCACAGGGGTGGGATTGGTCCAGGGTAGTCAGGAGCCTGGAACTTCACCCGGGTCCCCCATGTGGGTGACGGGGACTCGGGTGCCTGGGCCACCTTCCACTGCTTTCCCAAGTGCATTAGCAGGGAGGTGGGTCAGAAGCGGAGCCGCCGGACTTGACTGGGATACAGGATGCCAGCATTCAAGTGGTGGCTTAACCGCTGCCCCACAACACCTGTCCCTACCACGAGCTTGCAGTTGTCTTTACTGAAGTCACATGGCTTTGAATGATCGCCTGGTATCGTTTCATTTCAATCCGCAGGACTCCCTTTAGTAATTCTTTCAAGGCGGTCTAGCGGCAACAAACTCTCAGCTTTTTTTTAAAAAAAATATCTATTTATTAATGTATTTATTTATTTGAAAGGCATGGTTACAGAGAGAGAGGGAAGAGAGAGTGAGAGAGAGAGAGAGAGAGATCTTCCATACTGGTTCACTCCCCAAATGGCCAAAATGGCAGGGCTGGGCCAGGCCAAACCCGGGAGCGCAGAGCTTCCGGGTCTCCCATGTGGGTGCGGGGGTCCAAGCACTTGGGCCATCTTCCGCTGCTTTCCCAGGCCATAGCAGAGAGCTGGACTGGAAGTGGAGCAGCTGTGTCTCGAACCAGTGCTCACATGGGATGCAGGCAGTGGCTTAACCTGCTACGCCACAACGTCAGCCCCTCTCAGCTGCTATTTATCTGAGAACATTTCCCTCACTGAAATATATATATATTTTATAAGTAAATGTTTTATAAATATAAAATGTTTTATAAATAAATAAATGTTTTATAAATAAAACATATATATATATATATATATATATATGTTTTACATGAGACAGAGAGAAGGAGAAATTGAGAGTCATATCACCTGCTGGCTCACTCTCCAAACGCCTGCAGTGTCTAGGACTGGGCCAGGCCCAAGCTGGGAGCTAGGAGTGCCAGCCAGTCTCCCACAGGGGTGCCAGGGCCTCACTGCTCCCAGGGCCCACATCAGCAGGATGGGGTCAGGAGCGGGAGCCAGGTGTCTTACCCAGGTACTCCGATGTCTTAACTGGTGGTTAAATGCCCCACACTGGGAGTTCTGCCCGGCGTGGAGCCCCGGGTGGACAGCTGTCTCCCAGCACTCTGAACGTCTGAATGTATCAGCCCACGGCCTTCTGACGTCCAAGGTTCCTCACGGGGCACCTGCGGGTATCTTCCTGACTTTCCAGTTAGGAACGCTGGGTCTCCACAGGAGTCCCTCTGAGTTGGTCCTGGGTCGTGTCTGCGGCTCCTAGACGCTTACACGCACGTCTTTCATCAATCTGGAGTTCTCTGCTACGCTTTCTTTAGTACCTCCTCTGCCCCTCTGGCTGTCCTCCTGGGATCCCCACACTGTAGATCCCGGCCTGCCCGGTGTCCCCAGGGCCCCTTGGGCTCCGTCCACTCTCCTTCAACCTTCCTCTTCCGTCCCGCACACTGAACAACTGCCAAGACGCTCTGCTCAGCTGTGCGGTTTCTCCCCCCGCCTCTGGAGGCCCCCGTGGGCGTCTCCTCTGAGCCACCGCGCCCTCAGCTGCAGTTCTTGTCGTCAGGTTTCCTGTGTCTTCATTGGTAGTTAGTGCTGGCAGCGTTCCCCTGCCTCCCTCCTGCCTCCCTCCGGCTCCCTGAGGCTCTGTCCTGGGGAGTCTCCTTTACTGTCTTGGTCTCCTTTCTGAGTCTGGGTGGAAAACTGAACACTGGGACAGAATCAAGTGATCTCTCCGCAGTCCCGTTCTCCTTCCCAGGGCCTGCTGCTTTGTTTTTGTTGTGCTGTTGCTACCGTGAGCTGTCCGTGAGCTGTCTGTGTGCTGTCCGTGTGCTGTCCGTGTGCTGTCCGTGTGCTGTCCGTGTGCTGTCCGTGAGCTGTCCATGCACTGTCCGTGAGCTGTCTGTGCGCTGTCCGTGCGCCATCTGTGTGCTGTCCGTGCACTGTCTGTGCGCTGTCTGTCCATGAGCTGTCTGTGTGCTGTCCGTGCGCTGTCTGTGTGCTGTCCATGCACTGTCTGTGCGCCGTCTGTGTGCTGTCCATGCACTGTCTGTGCGCTGTCTGTCCATGAGCTGTGAGCTGTTTGTCTGTGAGCTGTCCGTGAGCTGTCTGTCCGTGTACTGTCTGTGAGCTGTCTGTCCGTGAGCTGTCTGTGAGCTGTCTGTCCGTGTAATGTCCGTGAGCTGTCTGTCCGTGAACTGTCTGTCCGTGAGCTGTCTGTCCGTGAACTGTCTGTCCGTGAGCTGTCTGTGTGAAAGGCCAGGCTGAAGTGGAACCTCCCGGTCTTCGCGGTCCTCCCCGAGCCTGCGCCTTTCTCGGGGCAGGTCCTGTGACCCCGTATCCCTGGGGGATCCACTCCACCGTGCCCAGAGGATGCCTGAACCTGCACAGTGCCGAGTCCTAGACGCACCATCCTTTCCCCACGAGAGTTTCTAACTAGACACAGCGAGATTCACAACAATCTAACAGAATCCTCTAGAGCAGAAGTGAAGGCTCTGGGGACAGTTTACTCCTAGGGCTTTCTGATTAATGTAGACCACGGGCACTGACACTGCACGAAGAGAAGCCACTGACATCGGGCTGCTCCTGAATGTGCCCGTCTCCAACGGCTGGCTCCCAAAAGGGGAGAGAGAAAAGGAAGTGGGGTGGGGGCGTGCCGGCCCTGTAAACACTGCAACTTGGTTCAGCCACAAACTGGGGCTGCAGCCATGGCAGGAGGAGCGCGACGGCGCCCCCTTCCGGCACCTCCGTGACCAGAGAAGGCCGCCAGGACTGCAGCACGGCTCCCTGTCTGGAGGCCCGGGGCCTTTTTGCCTGGCTGTGTGCGGGCTGCGCTGGGGATGTGGCTGCTGCCGCGCTGAGCAAAGCCAAGCACAACTGAGAGTCCAGGGCTCCCCCGGAAGTGGCAAGCCCGCAACAGATTCCCCAGTTCCAAACCAGCCACGCCCGCCAGACGGCGCTGCTGCGACCGTCTCGTGGGGACACACGCCCAGGGCTCCTGCCCGCCGTCTCCCCAGAACCCTCCACCACCCAGATTCTCGCGCCGCCATGCTTCAAAGCTTTAGCCTTAACAGAAGCAGTCAAAGGAAACACCGTGAAGCGTTTCAGTGAGGTCTGGACCTGCATTCTTCTGCAGCGCATCCCCCTATCTTGCGGCGCCCGTTTCTGGGCTGCCTCCGTGACCCCGACACTCCCGCCGGGAAGCGGGAGAAGCACTTGGAGCTCCATCGCCAGGGCGGGACCTCTCCGCGCTGCATGTGCAACACTGAGAAGCGGTCTCTGCAGGGAGCAGGCTCGGGCCGCGCTGAGGCCGCTCTTAAACAGATTCGCAGCCTGAGTGCACTCCTCGCCCAGGAAGCGAGCAGCCAGGCAAGAATTAAAACCCCGAGTCAGGCTGTCTCTGGGGATGCCCAATCACCTAATGGACGCCTGATCTGAGCCACGGCTCCACTCCAACTCTGCCTTCCTGCGATGCACACCCTGGGAGACCGCAGTTGATGGCTCCAGTACTTAGGTACCTGCCACCTACCTGGGAGACCCAGATGGAGTTCTGGGCTCCTGGCTTTTGCCTGGCCATGCCCAATTTGGGGAGTGAAACAGCAGATGGAAGATCTGTATGTGTGTGTGTCTTCCAAATAAAAATAAATAAATCATTTTTTTAAAGAAAGAACCAGGGGATGGTGTTGTGACGTGATGGGTAAAGCCGCCACCTGCAATGCCATCATCCTGGACGGGCATCGGTTCGAGTCCCGGCTGCTCCACTTCCGATCCAGCTCCCTGCTAATGCACCCAGGAAAGCAGTAGAAGATGGCCCAAGTGCTTGGGCCCCTGCACCCACATGGGAGACCTGGAAGAAGCTCCTGGCTCCCGGCTTCAGTCTGGTCCAGCTCCATCCATTGTGACCATTTGGGGAGTGAACCAGCGGACGGAAGATCTTTCTTTCTCACTTTCTGTAACTCTGCCTTTCAAATAAAATAAATAAATCTTTTTTAAAAAAAATGGGAATGACAAACTCAAAGGTCCCAAGGCACTCCTGCCTCTGAGGCGGTAGTCACCTTACCACGTGAGGTAATTATAAACAAGCGCTCGTGACGGTTAACCCTGTGTCAACGCGACCGGGCTACAGGCGCCCGGGTGCCTGGTTAAGTGTTACTCTAGGGCGTCTGTGAGGACATCGCTGAACGCGATGACCCCTGAGTCAGGGGCTGGAGGCAGGCAGGTCCCCCTTCCCAGTGCGGTGGCCTCCAACCACCCACGGGAGGCTGCAACACAACAAGAAGACTGGAAGAATTCACTCTCTGCCTGGGCTCTCTCCGTCTCCCTCCTGGGACCAGAGAGTCTTCTAGCTCTGGACTCACGCTTAGATGTGGACTGGAGCATGTGCCACACTGGCCCTGCCGGTGCCAGGCATTGGCACTGGTGTCCAGTGGGCACTCCTGGGTCTCGGTCTAGGTGACTACAGATGCAGGGATTTCTGCATCTTCAAATCCCACAGGCCAATCCGTGATAACACATACACAGACAGATACACAAGACCACCGTGTCTTGTGAACACAGGCGCTGTGAGCAGGAAAGGGATGTGAGATCCCACTAGCGCTCTTCTCTGGGCCTCGGCGCGTCACCCTCCACTTCAGCACCCAGGCTGGATGTGATCACAGCTGTGGTGATGGCGTGGCATACGGAAACCCGAGGTGGCTGAGGTCCCACTGAGACCAGAGACCATGAGAACAGGAGCACGTCCTGCCACTCTCAAAGGACAGCTGTGGACATCAAGGCAGACAGTGGCTGACCCTGTGCTGTGACTCACAGCACTGTCACCCCTTGGTGACTTAACGGCACCATCATCATCCCGGCACCCAGCACCGAGGGGCTGCTGCTGCTCCGGCTCCCTCAGCCTGTTCCCCAGCCGGTCCCAGGTTAGGTGAAGGAACCAGCTTTCTGGAGCCCAATGCCTCCGGGACAGGTGAAGCCTACTTGTCAATCACACGTTAATGCTAGGTGCATCAGTTAGGCAAACACCTACCAGAAACCACCCAAACTGAAAACCATCTGTCAGGCAGAGGGGACGAGCGCTAGACCTGGCCACACTGCAGGGCACCGTGGAATGGCAGGGGCCCGGAAGGCAAGGGCAGAACTGGGCCTGCAGGCCCCATGGGGGGACGAGCTCCTCACACGGCGCGGACGGGAACGCGGCAGGGCACATGGCAGGCGTGCACCCAATCCTGCTGCCCCCCAGCCCGGGGCGGGTCTGGCACAGGGCTCTCTAGGACGCATCTGTATCGCCTATAAGAGGCATGTGATCAAGCCAGGCCAACAGGACCCCCGGCTCCCACGCAGGCAAGGCCAGGGCTGCTCAGGGAGAAGTCCGGGTGCAGGGCTGGGCCCCTCCCACACGTGGGTTCAGAAGAAACAAGTGGCAGCCTCCCTCCACACTGTGTCCTCGGCCGGGGGGCGTGGCTGGACGGCTGAAGGGGCGTGGCCGGCAGGATGACGGAGCGGCCGCAGCCTGGACTCACCTCTGATGCCCACAAAGACGGTCAGGCCGAAGCAGGCGAAGAACACGACGAACACCAGGACGAAGTGGCGCTTGGAGAGCGTGTAGAGCCGCATGGGCGCCAGCCTGAGGACGGAAGCCGACGCGGGGGTGCTCAGGAGGGTCTGTGGCAGCCCCAGGCCGCGTCCCCCCCCCAGCTGCCCTCCCCAGAAGCCAGCACACGCTCTCCCCGCAGTTGGACCGCACACCCCAGCCTGGTCTGCAGGGGACAGGCCAACCCCAGGCCTCATCACAGGAACACTGGGCACTGTGGCGCCTATGTCCCCCAGGCACCACGCCCGCCTGCAGCTGCCCTGGTGAGCCCCAGTGCGACATGGAGAGCCAGCACGTGCTCGATGAGAGCTGTCACAGCCATGCCCACACCGGGAGCCCCAGGGACCACAACCCCGGATCTCCTGTGTCCTCCTGGGGAGGTGCAGTCCAGCCTCGGGGGGTGGGGGGTGGGGGAGGGGTCTACCCTTGACGTGGCCAAGCAGGCAGCCTGCAGTCTGCTGCGACCCACCAACAGCACCAGGGAACCTTCCAGAGGCTGCAGCCTGCCCTCCTGCAGGAGAAATCATAGGGGTGCGGGGGTGGGTGCAGTGGCCCTCTCTCCTTTAGGACTCCCCAATCAGGTGCCAGCAAACAGAAGAAAAATCTGTAAGGGTCAGGCGATAAGGGTTGGGGGCCTGCGGGCCCCTGGGTCCCTCCTGGCGCTCAGCCCCGCCCTCAGAAGCAGCTCAGGTGGACCGGGGGCAGGGCTGCATCCCGACCATACCGCAGGTCCCAGAGATGCGGCAGCTGCCCCGGGCCAGCAGCCACAGACCCCTCCCCAAGCCCCAGAGGGAGACCCCCAACTTCAACAGGATGAGTGCAGGTGGGGCCGACACCAGCGGGAGGAGGGAGGGGCAGGCCTGGCCTTGGAGGCTGTTTACTCTCCCCGTGCACAGCTCACACAGGCGTGTACACACGCACACCCCTCTGCAGGCCAGAAGGCAGCTGCGGGGTCGGCTGGCGTCCTGGGGCAAAGGTGAGGCCGGCAGCCAGCGCTGCTCTGACGTGGCGGTGCTGACACGGGCCAGGAGGACACACTGCCCGCAGGCTCTAAGGGACAGAACCAGTGACTCCGGTCCCAACCCCGACCTGGGCCCTGCCGGGGGGAAGGGAAAGCTAGGGAAGTGATCCCAACTCAGACGTGGGGTCCACAGACGACGCGTGTCCAAGAGCCTTAGAGCACCAAGGCTGGAAACGGTCTCCAGGAAGAGACCCAGGTTACAGGCGGGGAAACGGGGACCGAGACAGCAGGACACTTGCTGCGACACCACAGCTCTGCCCTCCGAGGGACCCGCTGCTCCACTTCCAACCCCGCTCCCTGCGGATGTGTCTGGGCAGCAGCGGATGACGGCCCAAACACTCAAGTTCCTGTCACCCACTGGCAGACTGGGATGGAGTCCCTGGCTCCTGGCTCAGTCTAGCCCAGCACCAGCGGTCGCAGCCATCAGCCAGTAGATGGAAGCTTGCTCGCTCTCTCTCGCTCGCGCGCGCGCTCTCTCTCTCTCTCTCTCTCTCTCTCTCTCAGCATTTCAAATAAAGTTTGAAAATTGTAAGGGGTGGGGGGGGGCCTTCCAGACATCTGCCCAAGTCTACCCCACTCCAAACCAGCTTCTCCCAGGACATCCTCACCTGGAAGTCCTACACTCACAAAGCCCAGTAACACAAAGGGAGAAACTGGCTTCCACTGCCCACATCCTGCCGTCCCTTCTCCTCAGTCTGAAACCTGAGTGTCCTCTCTCTGAGGGCGGGACCTCAGATCTCCTCTTGCTGAGACCCCAGCCTCCATCCTATACCCCAGCCAGCAGGGATGGGGGCGTCCCGGCTTCCTCACTCCTCTCCACGCCCCACACCCATCCCACTGCTCAAGGCCTTGCAACTCCTAACAGAATGATGGCCATCACCTCCCAGACTCTGCTTCCCTCGCGGTTTCACACGGCTGCTCGTAGCCTGCACCTGTACCTGAGGTCCCCCAGACCCTGCCCTACAGCTCCCAGCCACCCTGCATCGCGCCCGAGTCACCCCGGCCCTTGTCATCACCACACCTTCCAAGGGCGGTACTCCGAGGACCCCATCACAGGATGAGGTGGCTTGCCCTCGATCCCAAGGCTGAGAGGCGGCAACACTCCAGCCCAGCCTCAGCCTCCGCAGGTGGATTCTGCAACTCTAAGAACAATGACGATCCCAGCACAGCCAAGCCAGGCTCCGTCTCAGCACCGTCCACCCCGCCCCTCCACAGACAATCCAATCCCACCCATCAGTCAAGGCTCCCTGTACGCCCACGTCCCTAAACCATTATCATCATTATTATTATTTGACAGACAGAGTGGACAGTGAGAGAGAGAGACAGAGAGAAAGGTCTTCCTTTGCCGTTGGTTCACCCCCACCCACCCACCCAATGGCCGCTGCGGCCGGTGCGCTGTGGCCGGCGCACCGTGCTGATCTGAAGCCAGGAGCCAGGTACTTCTTCCTGGTCTCCCATGGGGTGCAGGGCCCAAGCACTTGGGCCATCCTCCACTGCCCTCTCGGGCCACAGCAGAGAGCTGGCCTGGAAGAGGAGCAACCGGGACAGAATCCGGTGCCGCAGGTGGAGGATTAACCAAGTGAGCCATGCACTGGTCCCTGATTTTTTTTTTTTTAAGATTTATTTATTTATTTGAAAGTCAGAGTTACAGAGAGGTAGAGGCTCAGAGAGAGGTCTTCCATCCACTGGTTCACTCCCCAAATGGCTGCAGCAGCCAGAGCTGTGCCAATCTGATGCCAGGAGCCTGGAGTTTCTTCCATGTCTCCCACATGGGTGCAGGAGTCCGAGCACTTGGGCCATCCTCCACTGCTTTCCCAGGCCACAGCAGAGAGCTGGATCGGAAGTGGAGCATCCGGGACTAGAACCACTGTCCATATGGGATGCCGGCACTGCAGGTGGCAGCTTTACCCGCTACACCACAGCCCCGGCCCCGCTAGTCTGTTTTCTCCACATGTTCTACTCTTGCCCCTGCTGCAATGCTGGTCTGAACATGGCTCCCCCCTCCAAAGCCTCCAAATCACTGTGAGCTGGACTCTAGAGTTCACCCCCTCTAGACTGGACTCTAGAAGCAGTGGGCTTCAGCGGGGTTGGGACCAGATAAGGTCATCAGGCAGAGCCCCCGGGAGTGACCACTGTGCAAAGTGGACTGATATTTATATATGGCCTATGTCAAAACTGAACTTTTTTCTCCCAATATTATATTTTAAAATTCTTCTTATTGACTTGAAAGGCAGAAAGCGATAGAGAAATCGTCCATCCACTAGTCCACTCCCCAAGTGCCCACAATAGCTGGAGCTGGGTCAGGCCAAAGCCAGGAGCCTGAACCCCATGTGTCCCCCCTACGGGTGGCAGGGACCTGAGTGCCTGAGCCATCCCCTGCTGCCTCCCGTCCCGTGGTGCAGCTCAGCAGGAGGCTGGGGTCCGAAACAGCCGGGACCTGAACCCGGCTGATGTGATGGCGGCGTCCCGCGCAGTGTCTCCACCACTGTGCCAACGCCCTGCCCCCCCCCCGCCCCCTGCGGCATCCTTTATTGCTGCTGCAGCTCAGGCCTTTGCCCTCTACCGCAGCAAACGATGGGCCCAAGCAGCCCCACGCCGCTCCCCTCCGCCCAGACGGCCTTCGCCTAGGACCTGGTCCTGCGGCCCCGGAGGCCACCGTGGCTCGGCCGCTGCAGCGTCTGCATCTGCATTAGCTGGGCCCAGCGCCTGGCAACGCTGCAGCCACCACGCGGGCCCACGGATCGCTGCTGCCTCCCACGCAGGGCTCGTACACCGCTGCCAAGAGAGGTGGGAGGTGAGCGCGACCGCGGAAAGGACCTGACTCACCACGGCCCTGCAAACAGGACCGCAAGATGGCCAAGGCGTGGGAGGGCGGAGGCAGCGAGGGACACCCCGCGGGGCCGTCTCAGACCACGGATGAAGACATGGGAAGAACACTCGAGCCCTGACAACCGCTGCCTCCACAGACGCCCGGTGGCAGCAGCGCCCTGCCGGTGGCCAGCACGGCGCCCCGAGGCCAAGGGTCAGCCAGGGAGGCGGGGTTTATCTCATCTCATCAAGTCCCTCATCCAGCGGGTGGGGACGACTGCACACACTCAGCATTGCAAAGCAGTCCCTGGGCTCAACGACACAGACTTCCCACTTCAGAACCTAAAAACGAGGCCCTGAGCACTAGAAGGGGGCCTTAAGCCCCTCAGCCTGCTCCCACATCTCACATCTCGCCTCGAGGCGCTGGCCCAGGGCCTGGCTGCACCTCCAACCCTCAGACGATCGGCAAGCAAGAGCTCTCCAGGCCTGGTTTCCTCACCTGCAAATGGAGCACGCGGGGCCCTTGTCCCGCCCGCGGGGCTGCAGGAGGCGTAAGGGAAGTGAGCAACAGGCCGCACCGGGACAGCGTGGTTGGATTGGAGCAAGAACCCAACCGTGTTACTGCAGGCAAAGCTGTGCTTCTCACACACCAACAACCAACGTGTCTTTGACAAAGAGCCAAAATCAACCCCTAGAGTGAGGAGTCTCTTCAACAGATGATCCCGGGAAAACTGGATCTCCACACCCAGAAGTAGGAAACAAGACCCCTACCTCACACCTAACACAAAAATCCATGCAAGTTGGGTCAAGGACCTAAATCTACAACCTAATACCATCAAATTACTAGAGAACATTGGGGAAACCCTGCAAAACATTAGCAGAGGCAAAGACTTCTTGGAAAAGACCCCAGAAGCACAGGCAATCCAAGCCAAAATTAACAAACGGGGTTACATCAAGCTGAGAAGCTTCTGCACTGCAAAAGAAACACTCAGCAAAGTGAAGAGGCAACAGACAGAATGGGAGAAAATATTTGCAAACTATGCAACTGATACAGGATTTACAACCAGAATCTATAAGAAGCTCAATAAACTCAACAACAACAAAACAAATAGTTCAGTTAAGAATTGGGCAAAGGACTTAAACAGGCATTTTTCAAAAGATGAAATCCAAATAGCCAACAGACACATGAAAAAATGCTCAGGAT